CCCGGCTGGCAGCAGCGTTCCGGGCTAATGCGGAATGCAAGGCACGGTCTTCCACTGGCACGTGTACAGACAGTCCCACTGACCTCACTGGGAGCGTCCCTGGGCCGCAGGACGGCACGTCAAACGAAGATCCGAGGGGTCTTTGAGTTTTGGCACAGAAATATTCCCTGCTACGCTTCAGTGCACTGTAGCATCACACTCTTCCTTGCTTGGCCTGTCTTTACGCAGCAGTCAAGAGTTCTCAAATTCCCTCCCCAAAGTCTTCTGAAGGTTAATGCTTACTGAGTGCCTTAAAATACTTGGATGAGAAACGGCTGTAGAAGAATACAGGATCATTGAAGCATTTTGATCAGAATCTATAGCTTGATTTCCCGGAACAAAACTGCCCAAGCTGTGCTCACAGCTTCCTTTAAGTGAGGGGGATGTCACAGGACAGCAGCTCGTTTCAGCAAATCGAGACCTACGTTATACTAATGTTACTCTTCCTTCCTTTCAAAAAAAAAAAAATATTCAAGGGCTGTATCCAAAATCATCTTTTTATTGCCACTTACACAGATTTAAATACTGAACATTCGGATAAACAACTATCTGTGTTTATGTAATCTGTCATTAGTTACTTCACCATAAACTGGAAGAATCTCCCTTGCCAACTTCTGCAAGACTCCTTCCGGTGGATCCTGAAGTATTCACTTTGCATGTTGGCATCTCACAGCAAGAAGAAATTCTTTTTGAGTGAAATATCTAACGTTTAATGAAAAAATTATTACACAATGTAGGCTTTCAGAATAAATCACATTTTTTGCAAAATAATTTCAAGATTCCAAGTAAGACTTCTCTCTTTTATTCAAAAAATAAATATATCCTTTCTGAATCGTATGACGTTAAGCACAAAGAAGAAATGTACTTCTTTGGAAGTTCTGAAACAGACATACCAGAGCTCATGGGAGCAACATTATCTGTAACAGTAATAAACGCTGAAAGCTGATTTTTTACAAATTTATAGCAGAACACGACTTCCTTTTACAATATAGAGCTTCAAACAGATTTAAGAAAAACACCATTTTAAAAGTCTGAAAGGCACATGAACTGGAGCATAAAACGTACTGGCACGTTCACTAATACGTTTTATGTTACATTCCTACAGAGAATCTGCGGGGCCCCAACCACGAGAAAGACTGAAAATACCAGCAAGTTCCTCTGTAAAGTACTAAGAGAGTGGCAGAGAGTTCCTTTTGGCTCTTGGTAAAATTATTACTACCCCAAAGCTAGAAAGTCTGAAAAGTTGCATCATTCAGTTGTATTTGGACGAGTCGCTACATAAACAAACACAACAATCAGCAGAACTACAACAGCCAGCGTGGGGAGCACGACTGTGGTGATTTGTTGCCGGGCCTCTTGCATCGCCTGTTTTCTCTCCTTTTTATCTTTGGAGGTCTCTTTTTTGGGTTTTCCTCTTAGCTGTCTCATCCTCCTCTTAGGATCTTTTGTTCACCGAAATGGGTGAGCGAAGGGAGCTGAACAGCAGAAAATAGTCCAAGGTCTTTTGAAACAAGGGGTTGAAGAATTCCTTCTCCTTCAAGTGGTTGGCTGTGCAAGGAGCTGTAAGAGAAGGGAAAAAAACCAGTTCTTTTGAGCACGATCTACACATATTCCAGTTATTAAAACCATTTGCAGCTCCACTTGGCAACTCTTTTATCCAACTGGCACCAATATCTGTGCAGCTTCTTCCAAGGAAACAAAATCGCAATGCGCTTGCTCAGCTCATCGCTAACCCCTTCCCCACAAAAACTACAGCCGTTCATCGCGGTGCGCGTCTTTGTCGGAGAGCGCTGAACTCGCACTCTGGGAAGCCAGAAACAAAGCCCAGCACCACACGTTTTACCCAAGGTAACACAGCTAAAGACTTAGTGAAAATGATAGGAATTACCCTCGCGTCAACACTGAGCGGCAGCTGCCCCTTCCTGCCACAGCAGCAGGCTCCCAGCTAAAGGTCAGCAGCTCCCCGCAAACGCGCAGAGCGAGGACGGGCGAGCACACGCCCGGCCACGAGGTGAAGCACTGAGCGTCTCACCCGCACCAGGTACTGACTGGAATACAGGGTGTTCTAACAGGGAGAAATGCGGGGAAAGGGCTGCTTAACTTACACTCCTGGTTCTGCTGCCGAAGAACGACGTCTAAATCATAACACTACTCAGTGCTGTCACTCTTACCACAGCTGTCATTTTCAGAAGAAAAAGATCCCAAGCGATAACCAGCCAGCTTACAAATCACTGCTGTAGGCAGGCAGCCATTAATAAGGCAGTCGCTCTGAAGCATCTACCAGGCCAGTTTTTAAAAGCAGAAGTATCTGTAAAGTGCGATTAACAAAACCAAGCCTCTCTGAAACATGGAGAATTAGTAGGTGTTTAACATTCCCATGCCCTAAGGTTTTTTGCCCCTAAGGTGCCTCCAGCCGTGTAATTCACCGACTGTGCGGGGCAGGGAGGGTGCCAACTTTTTGGCCTTATTGCTCTTTGCCACATCCCCCGTTTCTGCAGCAGCACAATAGCTGGACACAGGCCACATGCATCTCAACACAAATTTGGAGGGTAACCATTACTGGTGTTAAATACTGAGTTGAACTGAAAGCAAACTATGAACCGATGTTTTTCCATCACTCTCTAACGTACTGCAAATAAAGGGTATGTAAAAATTAGACGGTTAATGTAACTGCCTCTTTTCTTTCCCTCTTCTTTATATCAACATATAAAGATGATTTTAGAGTGTTGCTGTAGGCAACAAGCATGTGTCAACAAGCAAAACTCGCTCAGTTCACCACAGACACCATTTCCTCTTGTTGTGTCATCTCTGGTCAATGCTACAAGTTGTCATAGAATCATAGAACACTTTCGGTTGGAAGAGACCTTCAAGATCATGGAGTCCAACCTTTGTTCTAGCTCTGTCAACACCACTAAACCATGTCTCTAAGTACAACATCTACCTGTCTCTTAAACACCTCCAAGGATGGTGACTCTACCACCTCCCTGGGCAGGCTGTTCCAATGCCTGACAACCCTTTCAGTAAAGAAATTCTTCCTAATATCCAGCCTGAACCTCCCCTGGTGCAGCTTAAGGCCATTTCCCCTTGTTCTATCGCTTGTTACTAGCGAGTAGAGACTGACCCCTGCCTCACTACAGCTTCCTTTCAGGTAGTTGTAGAGAGTGATAAGGTCTCCCCTCAGCCTTCTCCTTGACTTATGACTACTTTTTTAAAAAAGCAAAGGTTTTCACTGAAAAGTGGGATGCTTTCTGTTGGTGTTAGCACTCAACCTTATTTGTCAGCCTGTCTACGGAAGCAAAACCAAACTAAAATGCTCATGTACAACACAAGAATCCTCACCTATAGGTGATGTGCAACCACAGAGGAGTTTTCATCCTTTCTCGTAACAGCAGCAAGCTGCCTGCTGTGAATCTCATCCAGCCAATAGGCTGGGGAGACATTGCACCAGTTAGGGTAAAATGTGGAATAACTGCTAATGTGAATTTATGGAAGTGACCAGACTATCACAGCAACCATGTGGTACTGGGAAATCAACAGCAAATCAGTGTGTCAGTGTTTCTGTCTTTACATGGTCCTTCCTGGATACAATCTAAATAAATAAATAAATAAATAAAAATCAAGTGTGACAGATTTCAGTGCTCAGCTGGATTCACCGATGCATCCCACACATCTTTCAAGCAGTTGTTTCTTCTGATCGTAAACTTTGCAAATTCAACCTGCACTCTGAGGCAAACGCTTCGTTTCTGTTTTGATAAAGCACAAACGGTGCTTGGGATTATTTTCAAAAGAAACAATAAAGTTCAAGTCTTAGAAAGAACCGATTCCTAGAAGCAAGCTGGAGCATTAGAATCAAAATATGTAACAGATTTAGAGGGACCAGAAGTGGTCAGTGAACTTCATAACGGGGAGGTAAAGAGGAACTGGATGGAGCAACTACACCCTGTTCCAGTCTTTTAATCAAATGGGACTACTTCATTTCTAAACTTTTGTAACTGTTTCTTCTCAGCAAATCCTCACCTCTCTTGCTGATTCAGGGCAGACTCTTTGGTACTCCACCTTCTGCAAGCTACGGGTTTCTGGTTTGGTTTTGTTGTTTTATCTTTTCTCTAACTCTTGAATTTCCTGAGGTAAAAGAAACCTCTGGTTTACGCCTTCCATTTCTGTTCCCTCTCCTCCTGCTCTGGTCACAAGCTTTATTACCAGAGTCTAGAAATCTACTATGCAAAATAAAGTTTAACATCTGCCCTTTGGGATAATTAGACAACCAGAGCATTTTAGGCTACAGTATTTTCATATTGTTTTCAGTCTCCACTGTTAATGTACGTCAGTGGGGTTTGTATCTCGATCACTCACAAGAGCCAAGAAGTGATGGACAGTGAAAGCCTTTGGGACTTTCTGTGTACCATAGTAACAAACAGGAGTTGCCATGAAACCAATCTCTCTGACAATAAATGTATGCCTTGCTCTACGTGGCATCACTTGCTGCCCAGACATTAAAAACATCAGGATGATTTTTAAAGTCTCTTTTGAATATTTCATTCTGAAGCAAAATTATACCAAGTTAATTACATACACTAGTTAACATCCGACGGCTTAGAACAGAAAGCCTTCCTGCAAATGTCAGCACCACTTGAATTGCAAGGCGATGCTCTCCAGTTTGGGAATCTGGCATCAATCTCCAAACCCGTTTCCAGTAGATTGGGTTACTTGGCAAAGATGGACTTGCACAGAAACTGGCCCACAGTTTTCAGAGATGAGCCTTAGGGTTCATCTTCACTGAAGCATAAAATGGAAGCAGTGAACCTCTGCAAGTTGCTGCCAGGCTCCTGCTGTCGCTAGGAGCCTGGACACGACTGCCAGCATCAGACAGTTATGGCAAGAGACAACGCTCCCCCACAGGAAAGGTCTGGGATGTTGTACATGCTGCTATGTTCATGTTGGTATGAAGCAGCCCTTAAAAACCAGGGCTCGGTTGTATAAGACAAAATTCTATGGGCCATGTTGTGTAAGCAGAGTCAGAAGAGCCACAGCCATCCCCTTCCACTGCCAAGCCTCTTACCAGCCACCCGTGGACTTCACTGGAAGGCAGGTGACTACTGACAATTATGGAAAGGAAAACCAGATACAGAAGGTACAGCAAGTCAGTGCCAGGGCCGGGATTACAACGTTAGGGTCTCGCTCCCTGTGGCGTGCACGGCCCACGAGACCAAATTATCTCACATTACTGAGCTACGTCCTCCTTCAGCCAGTAACCACCCTGCCTGTGCACTGGGAAGGCTGACTCAAGCAAAAAAAGGGAGGAAATAACATAGCATTGGGATGGGCATAATTAACAGTCTAGTTAGCACCACCCATTTAAACCATCTCAGAGCAAGTCGCTGTCAGAAGGGCAATGAGGAAGCGATGTCCCACGGGTACTTCAATCTTGTGCAAAACTCTGTCCTTCATGACCAGCTGACCTCATGCTGCAGAAGAACTGGAAACTCACGTTTTCTCCTCAAATGGAAGCTGAGAGTTTCCTTTCCATTCCTAGTCTCCGAACAGGAGGGCTCACTGCAGGACACTGGACACATCACAGAATCATAGAATCATTTAGGTT